CTTTGGTCTCTTTATGGTTTTTGACCCCTTAAACTCGTAAAATCATTTGCTCATGGAGAAATAATGGCACCGGTATCAATAGTTAGTGGACCTGACAGGTTACTGAACATTTTATTGTCGTGGTGTGGTATAGTGCTGATACAATTAGCCACATATTTTCTGGTTTCAACTTCTCTAATGTGAGGTTTTTGCTGTTTTTTTCAGTTTTATATACATATCTTTAGGACTGTTGGGCAATCAAAATTGTTAATTTGAAGACATCATCTTTGTCTCAGGGTATTTTTCATGATTTTAATAAAGAGATCAACTACCAATGAAACTAATCAGTAGTTGCAGCCCTAGTGTGATAAACGCCACCCATCTGCTCTTCCAAGAAGGTTGAAATAAAACTATTACATCCACATTTTAGACTCGCAAAGATGAACAGGTTGTAGTTTTTGCTTGGGTTGGACTTATAGCTGTTGGTGAGCACATTTCTGATGAGACTGAACACATCAAAGTTGTGTGTGTGTGTGTGTGCGCGTGCATGTGTAAATCCATGCCCTCCTTTTCCTCTCCATCTCTAGAGGGGTTTTTCACAAAGCAGGATTAGCAAGTTAGCCAGATAAGTTTAAAAGTACTTTGTGAAATTTTGTTAGCAATTCTCAGTCTGAATAGCTGAATCATATTCCCAAAACTTAATATTTAAATTTAGTTTTATAGATTCAAATCAGTATTACTCAGAGAATGGAATAATCTTTCACAGATATGTGGGTAACGTCCTAATCTTAAATTGTGAAAATCCTTGCAAAAGGCTCGTGGGTTGGTATTTCTTAAACCTGCAAATACCTCAACTTCACCTTTCTCCTCTTGTCTCATCCTTCTTTTCCTCTCCGTTGTCTTTCATCCCTCATTTCCCACTTGTGTCACTCTCCCTTCCTCTAATCCCCCCCAGTTGCCTCACAGACACACTCTTTCACATTTGGCTCTTCCCCATTTCCCTCCCCGATATCTCCCTCCCCAGAACCATCTCTCCGTCTGTCTCCAGCGGTTGCCGTGGTTACAGTTTGTTCTGCTCATCAGGCGCCTGCTGTGCCTAAACAGACTGTCAACAGTTTAATTACTCATCCTCTCATCCCTCCATCTTTCCTTACTTCTGTACTATGCCTTTGCTTGTTGCTTCCGCTTCTAACCGGGGAACCTCTTAGTAACTTCTCCTCTCAGTGACAAACTCTTTTTCTCTCCTTTCATCGTTTTGCACTTCTTTCCATCCTTTTACTTCTCCTCCTTTCCCTTTGTCACGCCATCCCTTCATCCCCGCCCCTCCTTCCTGCTACTGTATGTTTGACTACTACCAGTCTAATTACTCATGCCTCTAGCATTCAATCACATCAGTTTTATTCCATTCATTCATCCACGCCTTCATCTCTTCATCCACACCCCCCATCCCCCTACCCGTCAGTGTGCCAGTGCTTTATTAGTGTAGTTTTTCTTTTCAGACATTGTTATTCCTCTATTCCCTTATCCCCGCTCCCTCTTATCATCCACCTCTCAAGTGTCATCACTTGCCTTTTCATTCTTCATTACTCAGTCTCTCTCCATACTCCATGTGTTCCTCCCTATCTTAAACAGTCAGTCTTGTAATTACTCCTCTTCATCACACTATCGTTCTATACCTCTCTGTCCATCATCTACCACTCTGTTCTTCAGCTGTTGACAGCAAGCTGACGTCTCATCCTTTCATCCCCCTGCCCCCTTTCTTTAACAGCCCAGCTTTTCACTTCTCTTCCTCCACCATTTGTCATCAATTCCTAGATCCATTCATCTATCAAGTGCCACCTTTGTGACACCGGCCATGTCTCCCTTGTTTCAAGGTTTCACATCTTCCACTTCTCTCCTTGATTGAAAGCTGCTTAAATCAGAAAGGTGTGTGACATGCTACGTCTATCATTCCTCATCATCTTTGGTGTCATTTCATCTGGTGGTGCTGTCCATCTTCATCTGCTTCATGTAATTATACTTAATCCCTAAAACTAATGCTTTTGGGATTTGCTTGGTCATTATACTTTGAACACTTCATCAGTATATCCCCCTCATCCTCTTCCTTTTTGGCTTTTATTCCTTAACTGACTCTTCACCAAACCTCTTCCCCACACAACTACTGTTCAGTCATAGTTGCATGACCATAACTTGGCGTTGGCTCCCTACACACGTTGAATTGGTGTGCACGGATCTCTAATCATGGTAATACTTTCTAAAACCAGAAATAAAAAAACAAAGCATTATGTACTAAATTATTTTTTGGCTTTAGCTGTTGTGTTTAAAAAGAAAAAACATCTTGTTCATGATTAGGTCATCCTCCGTGCCCAACCCCCACCCCCCAATCCCGAGGGACCTAATCTTGAAATAATGAAATACTTCAAAATACTAGGACTAACTAGCTTTACACTTTACAGCTTTACACACACTACATTACAAGAACCGCGATCTTTATTTTCATAGCTTTAGCCTCAGTCTTTAAGAATGATATCTTGCATGTAGTCATCATGTGCATGAGACCCTTTTACAGGATTTATATTAAAGAGTTGACTGGTAACAGTTTTAAACCAACTCGTGAAACTAACGCTGCCGTAATTAGCTCATTAGTTCCAGCTGATAAAATCTGCCGGTGAGAGTTGTCATTTCACTGGTTTCTGGCTGGAGATGAGAAACTTGCTTTGGTCTGTTTCTCTTTGAAGTCAAGGACCCACTGGTTAAAAATGACAAGAAGTTTAATGGTAAACCTGCCACTGTTAAGTTGTTATAAAGCTCACATGGCCCACACTAGAATTGAGAGGGGCTTAGAAAATGGTCAGTTAAGTTTTATTTATTTATTTTTTTCTACTCTACTTCAGTAAATGGTCCATTCACTTGCCTGTCATTTTTCTCTATTCCTCCATTCACTTGCCAGTCTGCTCATGTTGGCACGGCTCCTATTTTGAACAGTGAGCATCCCATCTGTTCATCTCCCCTTACTGTAGCCTCAAAATGACAGACACCCTTGGTAACAACGAGCCACATGGAGCATTAACAAGATAATTGAGAAAATGTTCTTTTATTCCGCCTTTATTTCACTGTTTGAATCAGATGACACTTTACCTGCTCAGTATTCTTATGACTATCACTAGCAGGAGAGCAAAGCCAATTATAGAATTATGATTTGGTTAATGGATATCAAAAAGGCCTCTTTGTCACACTTAAAAAAGATTCAGACATCATCTCCTCAGAATTAGCAACTGCCCCTGTTCACAGCAAGAGTCAAAACTGCTGTAAATGATCAATAGAGCTAGTAATGAGCTCTGTCTTGGTTTTTCAAAAAGCTTATTTTTCATAAAAATAGTTTCATGTGTGGTGCATTTTTTTTCGCCAAATCTCCTTGGTTTCCAGGGTAATGTTGCTCTTAGGTAGAATTACACTTTTCCCCCAAGTTGTGCTCCATAATTGGCAAGTTTAATACATGGAAACGACCCATGGTACAACATATTCACCATATCTCTAAATAGCTAATTACTGGTGTCATCACTTGGGGTCATGTAAGACTAATTGTAGCCAATGGTATAACAGTAGAAAGCTACATAATGATGGCCATCTGTCATTTGTAATTAATTCTTCCTCATCTATCTTTCTATTTTTATCTTCCTGTGGTAAATCACCATTAATTTATATTTCTATCCTGACTGTGCCTCTTTCTAACCTTTTTATCATCTTGTCATCATCATTCTAGACTCCTTTAAGTCTCCTAGTTTATCCCACCTATCATTTATTATTCAATCAATCAGTCCTTCAGTCTTTTATTTGATGCAGTTTCTTGCTCCTGAAACCTTTTTCTTTTCTATTATATCATATTTATCTCTCCATTTCTCTAGATCTGTCTCCTCATTATCCCTCCCTCTCTCTGCTGCCATGCTTTCTTTTCTAATCTATACTACCTTTGGTACTAATTCTTCTGTTCATCTGTCTCTTTCTCATTGCCGCTAGATGAAGTCAATCACTCTTTCTCACCCCTCCTCGTCTTACTGCAATCCTTTCATCTGACCTCTCTTAGCCCTCAGTACCGTCACGATGTCATGTTTCACCCCTTCTTTCCTCCTTTTCTCCTCCCTTCACCCCCCTCCCCTGCTGCACTTTCTCTCTCCTCTCGTCTCCATTTCTTTCTCATCACCCTCTTATCCTCCCATACATCCACTCAGTCAGTCTGATCTCCTGTGTCAGTGTGCCAAATCCGTGTGTGTTTGTGTGTGCGTGCACGCAGACACAGCTTACATAAAAAGCCTCAAACGAAGGGAGGTTAGGTCTGTTCTGGGCTGCTGATGCTGCCACCGCCACACAAACACTCGCAGTCCTCCTTCCATACACTCTTATTATATGTATATGTACTACCATGGTGCGCACGCACGCACGCACACGCACACGCACACACACACACACACACACACACACACACACACACACACACGACACGCCAGTTGAGATTACATGAAGGTGAGGTGATGAAAGCCAAGCATGAGATGCACCTAGTGAGTAATCTGATACAGGACAGCTGGCTGACACTCACATGCACAGAAACACACACAGAAAGCGAGCGAGCAGTATGGTGGGAGTACGTAGAGCAATAAATAGTGGAGTTAGAGCTGCAGAATAGAAGGATAAGAAAAGATAAACCTACAATCATTGGTGTCTTGTGGGAGATTTGAGCCTGTGTGTGTTCCTGTCTGTGTGTACTCTGACATTTTCCTCTCATGTTATTGTTGTTATGAATGCACATCTGTTCATTATTTATAGGCCTAAATGTGTGTGTGTGTCTGTGTGGGAGAACACAGAGTTCCCAGTCCACTGAGTGCTGGTGTTCACCGCATTGATGTGCTCAATGATTCAGCACAAGAGAGCTACCCATGCAAACATGGATTCACCTTTACTGGGCCAATATATGCCAATGGTGTGTGTGTGTGTGCGTGTGTGTTTTGAAGCTGCATGAACGTTACCTTTTCCGTCTGTGCGGCTCTATAATCCGAATCAGCTCCACATGTTATCCAGGTTGTGTGTGCCTGTGTATGTGTGTGTGTGTGTGTGTTTAGCACAGATCTCGCCCCAGGTGTTTCTCCTTGTGTTGGGCCAGCAGGGGGGGAGGTTTGTGTGTTTGTGCTGAAACCTGTCCTACTCCCCTCCACACACACGCCCCCACACACATCAAAAGGAGGCGGATGTAGGTCAGTGTCAAAAAACCAGAGTTGCAGAAATTCCAATCCCACAATATCCTCTTAGGCTTCTATAGATGAAGAAAACCTGGAAAATCCGGAATTACTCACTCAATCCTGGTATGGTATTCCGAAATAGAGACCTCAGTTTGAAAAAAAAAATCCAAGAATCCACTTTGCTTTAAATCCTATTTATGGCATTTTGGTATGATTTCCTCATGGCTGTATTCAACGTCTCTCTATATGTCCTGCAGTTCAATCGAGGGACAATAAGAATCCTGGAGTTGGCAGCGACCTCCACACCTCGTCCTTCCCCCCTTTTCTTGCTCCTTCTCTCCCTTTTTTTCCCCCTCCCCCTCGCTCATACACCCCTGTCTCTTCTCTTATTTATTCATCCGGCTTTCTCTCTTATTCATTCTTTCACACATTCAGTTTTTTCCCCTCCTCTCCACCCTTTCTCTCATCCCTCTCTTCCCGGATTGGGGTGATTTCCAGGCTGTGTTACAGGGCCTCTCTACACTCTACAGAGTGTGACCTGTGGTTGTTCTCTCACATTGAGTCAGTCTTTCATTGATGACCTTGGAGGGAGGTGCAGAAAAGGAGGTTCGGTAGTAATCTGCAGAGATGGAGGGATGGAGGCTAGAAACCTGCAAAAGAGGAACAGGGAGAGTGTGAAGAGAATGAAGTGTGTGCACTGTAAATGTCTTCCATTAATGTCGTCTTTACTCTGTGTTCACTCGCGTAAATCACACAAACATTCGACCGAGTCCATTATCACTTTTTTGTTCCATCCCCTCCTCCTGTTTCTCCTCCACTCATCTGACCTCCTCATCCCTTTAGATATCAACACTCCACCCATCTTTCCACAACTTCAGAAGTCAATCATTCAATCCTCCCTTATGGCCTCTGTAAATCCCCTCTCCCCACCTTGCCCCACCCCCCATTTTCATTCTCCTCTGTCTCCCTCCCTCTCTCTTACCTGTCTGTCAAAGAGAATCAATAGTTCCGAGACCCTCTTAAGGCCTCTCAGCAGGCTGCACTAGCTTGAACTTGCACGCAGAAACACTTGCAGGAGGAGGACACGAGCACATGCACACACACGGCCATGCAGCACGTTCACACATGCTTGCACACACACCACCATGCACACATCCACTAAATAGTCATGCAGTGATACTCTCCTGCAAGCACACACAGCCTTTGCATCTCTCCTGCTCTCTCTTTCAGTCACGCACACACACACACACACACACACACACACACACACACACACACACACACACACACACACACACACACAGCCTAATGAAACAGTTGGGCTATTGATCAGTGCCATGAATGTCAGACAGTTCAAAAGTCCCCCACACCCCCCACACTCTGGCCTGTCGATCAAACTCCAAAAGCTGACACCTTTAAGAAGACAATCTCATTATCTTGCTCTAAAGCTGTGCACTCACTCTGTCTTTGTGTGTGTGTGTGTGTTTCTTTGTGAGAGTGTTCCTTAGAGTGTGTATCTGTACATTTGTGCAGCAGCATCTCTGCCAGGTTTTTTTTTTCCCTCCTGAATTCAGTTGAATATCCTTGATTCATTTTTTCCTTTTCACTCCTGTTTTTATGTGCTTCTCCTCCTGTGTAGTTCACTTTGCTACTTCAAAAGCACATTAAAGCTATTTGGTGTCCTTTTATCCATTTTTCAAGTTTTCTTCAGGTTCTTTCATCTTTATCTAACATGTCTTTTCCCCTTTTTTGCCCTCCGCTAGATGAAAAGGTGGAATTACTAACCTTGTTTTCCGGATCATTCCACCGCGACTCTTGGAGCCGTCACATCTCTCTGTCTCCGCGACTCGCTCTCTATCTCAGCTCCGTGGAAAAACACCCATCTCTCTCTTTCTCCCTCTCTCTCTCTATCTCTATCACTCTCTGTCTACCCCCCCCCCCCCCCCCCCCCCCCCCCCCTTCCCCCCCCCCCCCCCCCTCTCCTCCCGTTGGTCGTCCCCTCACTCGGTCTCGACAGCTGCAGCGCTCTGTCTGCCTCCTCTGTCGCTCTTCCGTCAGGCTGTAGGCTGATTGAATTTTAAGTCATGTTAATCCCACAGAACAGGTACTGAATGAAGGAGGGGACACAGCAAAAAAGAAAGGGGAGAGAGAGAAAATGACAGAATGCAGGGAGTAAGCTGGCTTGTATTTTTAGAAATCTCCTCTCTCCTTCAGGGAGGTTTTCTCCATTTCTTTTTTCCCTTTACTTGTCCTGCCTCCAGTCACTTCTCCTCTTCATCTGTCCATTTATCTGCATCTTTATCCTCTTGTTTTTTCTTAATTTTTATTGGTTTTCTTTGTCCTTATCTGGTGGAGAAGAGTGTGTGATTCCCGGCGAGAAGCAGAAGCGATGACTGCGATCTCTCTCTGGCAGCATCAAGCATCGGACTGAGAGAGAGAGAGAGAGTGTGTGCATGAGAGAGAGAGAGGGAGAGGGAGAGAGGCATGAAGATGAGGAGCAGGAGAGGTGGAGGGTGGGGGGGGGTGAGGTGTTGAGGAGATTGAACAGGGAAAAGGAAGGAGGAGATGAAAGATGGAACGATGTAGGAGGAGAAGTAGAGGTGATTAGGAGAAATGAGGATCTGGAGGGGAGAATGAAAGAGGAGGAGAGGAATATTATTGAGGTATTTTTACTCCACTACATTTATTTGACACCTGGAGTTACTAGTTAAAAGATTTTACGTACAAAACATATAATAAATTTATAAAGTATCGACACACTGTTATAAATGTGCAATCCAATAGTATATAAAGCAGTTCAAGTAGCTGCAGGTGCACTTTGACTAGCTGCAAAATTAAAACGCAGCTTAAACGGTGTTTCAAAGGACAAGACTAGCAATATTATATGTTTCTTATAGCCAACAAATCCCAGAAAAAGACCAGGCCAACAATGACCTCCTTCGACTACCAAATACTGCTCCTGTAGCCAAAGCCTGATATAGTTTATTCTTCTGTGTCTCTCTCGTTGTCCAGACACTATTAAAAACACATCAGTGAGCTGTAGCGTTGTACCGCATGACTTGTTTACTTCATTACAATGAATATGGACAGTTACATTAATTTGAAATCAGTTCCACATACAGTGTCCTGGTGCTGTAAATACTCACTACTGCACCAAATGTGGATTAATCTTTAGCTGAAAATGGTCCCAAACAAATGCATTGTTATATTTACTAGAAACTGCAGTGCTCAGTGAGCCCTTTTCAAATATAAAGCAAACATCTTAGACCAGTTTTTTTTTTTTTTTTTTTTAAGATTTCAATCCTCACAAGGAGCAAATGGGCTGTGGGGCTGAGTGCCATGGACGTTTTTCACGGGATTTGTTGACAGATGGAAATATATTTAGAACGCATGTTTCAGTATGCTTTAAGCAAACTATTTTGTACCAAGTGTCACTGCTGTCATTACTCTAAAGGCAAAGTGTTAACAGCTGAGAGGGGAACGACACAGTGAATTGTACAGAATGAGATAAGAGAACACACAGTGCAGACGGTCCCTCCGCACATGCATTCATGGAATAAAGAGATGTACATGCAAGAAGCTACAGACGTGTGAATCAAAAAAGAGATCTCGTTTGAAATCATTCATACTTTTGTACCTTCTCACCTTTACACACCTGGCCAATAGCTTTCTGTTGTTAACGTCAGCCTTATGCAGTAATGACACTCTGGAAGGGGACATTCTGCGTCATGTATAATTTTACTTTTAATAATTCAAAGTACATTTTGTTTATATGTAATACTTTTTTTTTACTTGAGATACATTTTAGATGAATGATTTCTACTTGCAAGAGTAGAATGAGAGGGAGGAAGAGGAGGAAGAAGAGGAGATAAAAGTCAGCTGGTATGACAAGGGGAAGTGAAGCTCTTAGTGCCTCAAGCAACTCTGGGTGAGACTGAGATGAGAGGGGGAGCAAAGGAGGATGATTAAGAGAGAGTGAGCACAAGTGGCGATGTGTGAGGAAAGAGAGGTAGAGAAGAGAGAGGAAGCCAAAGATCTCTGGGGGCGTAAGGGAGATAAGTGAGTAAGAGAGGGGTTAGCGAGGGATAGAAGTGAGGAGTGGATGGAGTGATAGCATGGCGATAGGAACAAGTGTAGCTGATACGACTTCAAACGGTGGTCGGGTGCTTGATTTCCACGCTGTGAGATAGCTGCTGGAAATAGCCGTTTAATGGAAACCGTCTGGGTGCCAGTTTGTGTGTCGGTGTGTGTCCCACTACTAAAGCACAACCTATAACACCAGTGGTATTGGATGTTCGGAATTAAGTCATTTCTGACATTCGCATATCTACAGATCCATTTTGTCAACACAATCACACACTGCAGATGGAATATCTGAAAGATGGGAATGAGAGTTGGTAAAAAAAAAAAAAAAAAAGAAAAAAAAAGAGTAGGTACAGAGATTTGGTTGTTATGGATGAATTGGTATTTTATGTATCTAAATTTCCACCCAGGACTCAATTTCTGTCCTTCATTCACTCCTCCAGCTTGTAAATATTTCTCAATCTGTCCCACCCCCCGTTTATTTCCTCCTTGCAAGCATTTATCTCTCATCCTACTTCCCTGCATCTCCATTTTTCTATCTTGAATTTATTTTTATCCCTTGCGTTTTCCCTCTTTAGTGTCACTCCATTATTCTCCTGCTGTGGGCCAGTGTATTTTTAACCTAGTAAGCCAGACCTCCCTCAAAGCAAGGTCCAGCAAGGAGAAGTTTGATATATCATTTCACCCAATCGTATCCTGTTTACAGCGCTCTGCTTTTATGGCCCGTTGATTCACAATTAATC